TTTGTGACAGAAATTGCTGGGGTGAGTGGTGATGTTAATTTAATTTGAATACAACTTCACCCGAAAATGCTTCAAGCCTGCTACCTAATGAAGAGAGGCATCAACTACTTAGGAAATATAAATGTAACAGTAACTGGGGCCGAGTGCCTATCTTGGTCTCATGTCGCCAAACTAATGAGTGAAAAACCATCTCAGTACGAGTTATTGGTTGACCACAACTTCCCGGGTTCAATTGCAGAGTCGGAAAATTTTTGCCGCAACCCTACGCCTCATATAAGAAGCGGTCCCTGGTGCTATTTGAAGAATCCGAGAGAAGATTTGTACGTTCAGAATTGGGAGTATTGTGATGTCTGCCGAGGTTGTTGTGTGTTGTTGTTGTAGTATGTTGCTGTTGTTGTTGTTGTGTTGTTGTTTTGTTGTTATATGTTGTTGTGGTTGATTTTCTGTTACATGTGAATGTGTTACAAGTGTTAGCTATTTTGTCATGACGCTGACTTCTTCTGCAATGTTATAGACCATTGACTCTGTTATATTAATACTTGTTCTTCATTTTCAATTATAATAATTTTATTATCACTGCAAGTTAATTACTCATTAATCGAGTAATTTTTTAAACAATTTTTCCAGAATTTATTAAAAACTGTAAATAAATATGAGACAAAATATCACGCGCCGGTCCAAACACCAAACCTCTGTTACAGATTACTACAAAATGATGTCGGAACCGGTGAACAAAACGATAAAAATCGACGGAACCGGTTTCAAATTACCGATATATTCGTTTCAAAGTTGCGTACATTTCTGCTCTGCACACTCGGGATGCGAGAGTATCGGATATTTGGAAAATGTCTGCTATGTCAACCCGGAAGATGGTACTAGCAACGCGTTGTTTGCCACATTTACTATGGTTAACGAGCAAGCGGGTTTGTATGTTTGAATATGTGTGTGTGTTTGTTTGTGTGTGTGTGTTTGTACGTGTGTGTGTGTGTGTGTGTGTGTGTGTGTGTGTGTGGGAATTGAATATGTGTATGTTTGGATTTTTGTATGAATGAATGTATCAATAATATAATTGATATATAATATAATAATATTTTCATTGAAAACAGTTCCGAATTACGATGTATCAACGTTGAAAGAGCAGACGGAACATTGTAAGAACAAAATTAAAAAAAAAATCTTTTCTCACTTTTTCATTTAAAAATAACTATTTTAATAACAATAATTCTTTAAATAAAAGTCTGGGCCGACAGTGATCTACCGCAAGATGGCAGGGCATATTCCGGATCGGTAAACATCTCGAAATTCGGCCAGCCGTGTTTCCCGTGGGCAATGTTCCGGATCAGGATGAACTACTCAATGTTGGATTTCACGGAGCAGTCCGTGGTTGAGGCTTTTAACTACTGCCGCGTGACTTTAAGAGTCAGCGGCGTGCCATACTGCCACACCAATGTTGACGACATCGAAGAGAGGTACCCGTGTGACGTCATCCCTAACACTAACGCCGATTACAGAGGTCTGTTTGTGTGTATTATACGCCTTCGTGTATTCTGTTGGTGTCTCTCTCTCTCTCTCTCTCTCTCTTTCTCTCTCACTTTCTCTCTCTCTCTGTGTGTGTGTGTGTGTGTGTGGGTGTGGCCTATGTCGTGTATTACGTGTGCGTGTGAATTGTGTGTAATACTGAATGTAATGTAATACGTGTTTTTTTAGTTATAACATATACAAATATGTTTTTTTGAAAACACATGAACACAAACACATGCTATAGACACACACACACACACACACACACACACACACACCACATACACACACACGCCCACACACTTTTTTTTTCTCTCCTTTCTCTCTCTCTCTCTCTCTCTCCATCTCTCTCCATCTCTTTCCATCTCTCTTCATCTCTCCAAAACCAATCAGCATGCAGACTTAAAAAAAACGGTCACGGCTACAGAGGATCAAAGAAGACGACCATAACTGGGCGCAGGTGCATCTACTGGATTGCCGCGGCAAGGTTAAGTAGGTACCAGCCCCTAAGCTATCAGGACATCCCTAATGACGCATTTCCAGGACTGGACCCCAGTAAAAAAAGCGCCAGAAACTTCTGCCGGAATCCCACTCCGCAGATTAGGCAGGGTCCCTGGTGCTTTATTGAGAACGTCGAGAATGAGGTTGTTATACATTCGTGGGAGTACTGCGATGTCTGTAGCAGTAAGTTTTTGTTTGTTTGTTGGTGGGTTGTTTAGTTTGTTGTGTTGTTTTGTTGGTGGGTTGTTTTGTTGTGTGTTGGTGTGTTGCTGTTGGTGGTGGTGTGTTGCGTTTCAATTTAGTTTTTTGACAACATGAACTCTGCGAAAAAATGTATCAATAAAATAAATAAACACACACACTCACTCACTCAAACCCACACACACGCGCGCACACACACACTCACACACATACAAACACACAAACACACACACATACACACGCACATGAAGCCATCAAACCAGCGAAAGAGTTAAAGATAATCTACGTTGAAAAGGACGTTGTGAACAACAATTTAGAGTCCATGGAACTTTCTGGTAGAGAATGGTACTACTGTCAAGTCCTCTGTTCCACTTTTGCCTTCTGCCATCTTGTAATTTATGACGTGTATGTGTACGTGTGTGTGTGTGTACGTGTGTGTGTGTACGTGTGTGTGTTTTAAATGATCGATAGATAGATTAGATGCTGGTGAATTTGTTTTATTTAAAAGTTTTCTTTTCAAAGCTGTAAAATTATACCGAAAATGAAATTAGAAAAATCAAACGAATAACAAACAAAATTAGAGCAACAAGATAAAAAATTTCAAAAAAATCTTCAAGGGCTGGTCGCCGCTGCGTATTCTCCTGGCTACCAATGTCCAAACTACCCTACCAGAAGGTTGGATCCAAGCCCGTGGCACTAGCTGAAAATTACTACATAGCTTACAATTTTCGTAAAAGCTGTCCGGGTTGGTGGACTTTTTTCCCTCGTAAAATTTTCTTCAAGAATAAACACTCCAAACACCGACGCGTCAATCACATGCCAACAAAACAACCAACCACGCCACACACCGGCGCGTCAACCACACGCCAACAAAGCCACCACACGAGCCACTAACGCCGCCACACAGACTTCGGCGACGCGAAAGGTCGCAGCCACATACTACTGCGGACGAACGAGTGCGACGACGTCATGATGTCGGATCGGTTAACCATTTCCTATAGGACCAAGGGAATGAAGTGGAATGACTGCATGAAGAAGTGCGAAAAAATCCCGTTTTGCATTCACTATGCCGTCTTTCAGGATAATTTCTGCTTAATTTTCATGGACGCCTTCGACCACGACTACTGTCACTATGCAAAGTGTAGGACTCTGGCTATTATGTTAATTAGGTGCTACGAGCAGGAAACTGGTTGGTTTGCCACATTGTAATATGTTAATTAAATTATGTTAATTAGAGACCGGTTTGTTGGCCGAATATTCATAATTACCGTATGTTAATTAGATGCAATGGGCAAGAGACTGGTGGTTTGTAGGCTGAATAGTCATAATTGCCATATTATAGTGTAAAGATATTATGTTTATATATAATAATTATTATGATTGTGTGACGCGTGTTCGATTGTGTGTTGGTGTGGGATGTGTATTCATATCCGCTATGTGTCTGTTGTTGAGGCCTATGTGAAATACTCAAGAGAGAATTTTTTAAATATGGTAATAATTATAGTATTATAATTATATTATTGTTCACTTTTTGTTCACAAGTTGTTCACTTTTTTTTCTTGATAAAGTTTTTGAATTAAAAAAAATTACGTCACATACGCGCACATCAGAGGAGGAAATGTTCGAGAACGATGACGTCATAAACAGATTCGGAGAAGGGGATTATCAAATATTCCGTAAGTTGTTATATAGTTACGGAGTATAGTTTCTTTTTTTGCGTAGTTGTTAAGGTGCCTGGCACTGATGATTGCAGTGAGCGGTAGGTTCGAACGCAGAGTGATCCTTGTCTATCATATGAGATGTGTGTGACGCGTTGGTTCAAGTGTGCTTTCTCTCTTCCTCTCTCTCTCTTTGTGTGTGTATGTGTGTGTTTTGTTGGTAGATACTTCTGAAAAAAAAAACGAAAGCATTCTTAATAATTGATTGAATAAATGAATGAATAAATGAATAAATTGGAATTATAATTTTTCTTTCATCTTTAGAAAAAAAGCCACTCGTATTAGATTCCAAACAAGAAGGTAAATTTTTTTAATCATCCCCAATCATTTTTAAAAATATAACAAATAATTTTTAAAATTCACATTCAGTTGTTGAAAAAGAACCAGGTTAGATTATTATCCATTCATTTGTACGAATTCACGACCATTTTCAACGCCTTTCTTCTTCTTCTTTACCTGATCTTATTCATTTCGTAATAACTTATCCATAGAACACTCTTTCCAAATATTCAGTCTGGATGTTTAAGAATCAACACATAGCATAGTTCTCATCACTAAAACGACGAAAGAATGAGCGAATGAATTGATGAATCTTAAATGAGTGACTTGAAAATTATTGAACAACCAAACAAGCCAAACACTTTGTACATAACACAATCAACACGTAATACAAAACTACAGATCCGGAAGAGGCAGAATTCCTGAAGGGAATGGGAAACCTAGAACAGGAAGGAATATCTCCCGCATTTTTGGGAGAAGTTTTGAAGATTTTGATGGTGACATGGGTGTCTGTCTACGCTGTTCTTACTTTTTATACCATATTAGCCTACGCTGATTATTTATGAATGATAAGCTTGGAAATTTGGAGTGGGAATTGAAATATAGCACTTAGGAACTTGACCGTGTGGCGTTGTTAAGGTTTTTCTTGCTTCTATGTTAATCTTATAATAAAAAGGATACGATAGAGAAATTTCGGTCTGAATCATATATGGTCTGAATCCATGGTCTGAATAGATGTATTTAGCCGACAATGAACAGTTCGTTTAAAAATGTCGTTTCTTTGGTGTTACGTTAATTTTATTTTCCGTTGAATTTCTTTGATTGAATTTGTATTCGAATATAAATAACGTCTATATCTGTAAGATTTTCATAGTTGAAAGTAAAAACAAAGGGAGAAATTATTTGTGAATGATAAATGTTTGGAAATTTGGCGTGAAGACACATCCACCCAAGCAATTATCTTACATATCTAATCAAACTTCCTATTAATTAATTAAGTATAATTAAACATGTGTATATACACATTAAGACAGGGGTGGGCAAGGCCGCATGCGTCCAGCGAGGCCTTGTTCGCCAAAAAAGGCCTTGTTCTTAAAAAAATTCTCCCCAGGGTCGAAAAAATTTACATGTGCGGCCCTCACAACAAAAAGTTTGCCCACCCCTGCCCTGTATTAAGACATCAAAACATTATGAAGACACTGCAAACAAAATAGAAAAGAAAAAAACGCCATTATAATTCCTAATTACAGTTAGCACATGACAAGACCATAACTGAATAACCTTAATAATCATAGTTTACTATATAATGACAACCAAATTACATTACATAGTTTGGCCTTAGGCATTAAACGCAAGGGTTTTAGCTTTGGGAGATGTTTTTGTCTGTGTAAATTGTAAATAGCAGTGAAAAAACTAATAAAAAAATGATTATATTATAAATGAGGTTCAGAAAAAAATATTTAGGATAAAATTCAGGATGCAATCATTCCTTGAATTTCCATTCCCTCCTACACATGGGACAAATTTGATGAGTTTGTTGCGAGTTCAGCCACTTAACGATGCAGTGAATGTGGAAACAGTGGGAACACTGGCCCCAGACTGAATTGGGATTAGAAGATTTAAAAAATGATTATGTTATTTTAAAAAAAAACTCTCATTATTATAAATAAAATATTATAATGTAAAGCACAGGACCTTAAATTGTTTCAAATCTTTCAAAAACTAACTAAACACAAACTAACTAAATAATTAACATAAGCAGAATCCCTGAAGTTTAAAAATCCTAAATAATAAGTCATGTGGGGAATTTAAATTGAAATGATCTGATAGTATGTCTATCTATCTGCTGTACAACTTAACGATAGTGTCATACGAAGATAGGAACAAACTAACTCAAACAAAAATAAGTGATGCTATAATTTAAGATTTACCTAATTAATTAATTAAAAAAATATTAGGTTAATTTATCCGGGGTCAATCAATAAACAGACCAAGTGGGCAGTCATCTCCAGGGATCTTGCAATCCGGACAGCAACCATCAAAGGCCATCCTACATATGCCGCAGTTGTCGTCGTTTGCTATCCACTTCCATGTGGCTACTGCTGTCCATCTGGCGGTGAGAAAAATATTAATTATTTAATTATTAATTTTATTTTAAAATAATTAAACTAGATTTAAAATAATTTTTGAACAAATAACAAAAATCTAATTTTTTAGTTATTATTAATATTTAAACTTAATTTAAAAATACATCCGTATCGAAAACACCGAATTTAAAAAACAAAAATCGAAATTATAATAATATAAATAAATAAATAAAATAAGTATAATAACTACTCTGTAAATTTTCGGCCAATGGAGGTTCCATGAAAAAAAATTATTTGATATTAATAAAACATATTTTTTATTTATTAAAATGAAAAATTTAAATATAAAATTACTCCAAATTAAATAACGAACCTTTGAATCGCACATTAAACATTTTTTAAAAACTGTGCTGAAACTAAATGTGAATTCGACTTTAACAAGCTAGCCATAGAGTTGCAGGTGTAGACACAATAACAATTTTTCTTTTGTTAGAATGAAAGTAAAGTGAAAAAAGCTAAGTTTAATGCTACTTATGGTTCAACAAAAATACTTTAATCTTTTATATCAGTTATAAAAATTATATTTTTTTATTAAATTTAAAAATCTCGTTTACATTTACCAAAACAAGACTGTTCTTACGCGTTCACTTTTTAAGCTTATAAATAAAGAAAAAACATTTTTCTTATTTTTTTATTAATAAACCAGTTTAATAAAACATTTTGTCATTAGTATATTCAGATGAATCGCGTCATTTTAACAGAGTTAACTTGAATAAGGACATTAAGGATGACGATGATGAATGACATTGAAATACGATTCGAGCAGAGATCAGTGCCCTAACCTCAAGCGAATGTGTGTGAATGTGTGTGTGTGAATGTGTGTAAATGTGTATTTGTGAACGTATGTGTATGCATGTGTGTATGTGTGTGTGTGTGTCTGTATGAAACACAAAAAATAATAGCAAAATAACATCTATTGTTGTAACAATTACAAATAATAATAATAACAATAACAATAATAATAATAATAATAATAATAATAATCTATTACTTTAATAATTAAAAAACTGATAGACAGAAAAAGAAACAGCCACAACTTGAAAATACGTATTGAAATTAATAACATTTAAAAAAAAATAATCAAAAAATAATAATCGTTTATTTAATTATATTAAATTTAATTTGAAACTGGAGCCAAGAGATTAGTGAAATTGTTGTAGATGTGTAGTATGTCCGGATCAACATCTCCAGTGAAGACGCTGGTACTCAAGTACCCAGTGTACTGATACGTGAACTCGTGGTACTGTCGTTAGGAGTATAATTATTATTTAATTATAATTATTTTGTAATTTAATAATTTTTATAAATATTTTTTATTAAATGATATTTTTGTATTTAAAAAAAAATAGTAATAATGATAACGGCTTTGGATGCCAAAATTTGATGTATGCATGTGTATGTTGTGTACTTGTGTTAACATTATTACAAGCGCTCTAATAAAATAAATGGAGCGCTATATAATTGAAATATCATTGCCACAAAATTTAAAACTTGTAGAATAAGCGAAACCAAAACTAAAATCGGAAAGTGAAACTAAATTCGAAAGCGGAACCTTGTAGAGATATTCCTGCAACCTATCCTTGAGTATCTTGTACATGGGAACTTCGTGTGAGAGGCCGTCATTCTCACAGAGATGAATGTGATCAGATAGAACGTTCACAATGTTCTAGGGTGATAGGGAGTTGATTGATTTAGTTAACCGGTTGCATGATTAGTTGGTTGGCTGGTTATATGATTAGTTGGTTGATTGGTTATATGATTGGTTGGTTGGTTGGTTATATGATTGGTTGGTTGATTGGTTATATGATTGGTTGGTTGGTTGGTTATATGATTGGTTGGTTGGTTATATGATTTGTTGGTTGGTTATATGATTGGTTGGTTGGTTGGTCACATGATTGGTTGGTTGGTTATATAATTGGTTGGCTGGTAGGTTGGTAGGTTGGTTATATGATTGGTTGATTGGTCATATGATTGGTTGGTTGGTTATATGGTTGGTTGCTTCATTCATTGTACATTTGATTGGGGCTGTAGAGAGGTGAATGAGCAATCAAATCGGTAAAAAATAACAAACGAACACACACATACACACACACACAGACACATACACACACACACACACACACACACACACACACACACATACACACACACAGACACACACACAGACACACGAAAGCACACACATTACCTTAATAATATGGCAATGAATGATCTTAATCTCTTGCTTCAGCTGCTGGGCCTTCTTCTCCTCAGCGTCTATCTCATCATCGAACTGAGTCCTCTTGACGTTGTACCTACCGAGGTCAAGGTCGTCATCGTCCTGATCGTCATTCCTCTCGTCATCGTCATCATTTTTGCGGTCATCATCGTCGTCGTTGTAGTCGTCGACGCCCAGATGTCGCTTCGGCTTTTTCTGAGGGGTATGGATGAGAGTGAGGTTTGACTTGTATGTCAGAAAATTAACATTTACTGATTGTGGTTCAACTATAGACGAATCCTTTTTGAAGTTTTCAAGACTTTTTTAGTTTTATTGAGCTTTGTGCGTGTATTCTCTATCTATCTATCTATCTATCTATCTATCTATCTATCCATCCATCCATCCATCCATCCATCCATCCATCCATCCATCCATCCATCCATCCATCCATCCATCCATCCATCCATCCATCTATCTATCTCTGTCTTTGTTTTTATAACTCCGTCTTTTTTTCTGTCACTCTTACTGTCCATCCTACCTCATATCATTGTATAAATAAATATTACGATAATAAAAATTAATAACAATTATCATTACAATTATTTATAATATTAATTAAAATAATAAAAATTATTATTACAACTATTTATGATATTATTTAAAATAATAATAATAATAATTATTATTATTATTATTAATAATCACAATTAGGCAGTAACGAAGTACGAACGTAGGTGGAGGATTGTTTCTTGAGATTTTCCAACTCCTTCAGAGTCTTGCTTAGCTGTGTGTGCATCTTGTCAAGTGTGGATGCCAGTATGTGGCTGATGTAGAAGCTGTTGGGTGGGTAGGTAGGTGGGTAGGTCGATCGATAGGTAGGTGAGTGGGTAGGGTAGGTGAGTGGGTAGGGTAGGTAGGTGGGTAAATAGGTAGGTAGGTTAGGATTACAGCAATAACAACAATAATATTACAATAACAATAGCAATAATAATTATATAAAATAATAATAGTCTAACCATAGCAATAATAATAACAATAATGTAACAATAATATGACAATAATAACAATAACACAACAATAATAGAAGTAACAATGATACAACGAATCCCACGCACCAATTGAGATGGGCGACCATTGGTTCAGAAAGAACCCAAGCCACCACCGATGAACAGCTGATGATTTGAGTTTTCAGCAATTTGTCGACTATCACCTCAATCATCTGTATGTGTGTGTGTTTGTGTGTGTGTGTGTGTGTGTTTGTGTGTGAATTGTATGTATGTGTGTGTTTGTTTGTGTGGATGTATGTATGTATGAGTGTGTGTTTGTTTGTGTGGGTGTGTGTGTGTGTGTGTGGATGTATGTATGTCTGTTTGTTTATGAGTGTGTATGTATGTGTGTGTGTGTCTGTGTGTGTTAGTTTGTGTGTGTTTGTGTGTGAATTGTATGTATGTGTGTC